ATCACCAGATGGAAACTTCACTGCCAGCTTCCAACAGGCAAAGTCAATGGGGAAGCCAGTAGGAGGTGACAAATGGAGATGCTGCAGGAAAAGAAACTACGGATGGAAACTAATCAAGGAGAACCTAGAACTAAGGAGAAACTTCCTGACAGTTAGAACAATTAACCAATGGAACAACCTGCCTCCAGAAGCGGTGAATGCTCCAACACTGGAAGTTTTTAAGAAGAGACTGGACAGCCATTTGTCCGAAATGGTGTAGGGTTTCCTGCCTGAGCAGGGGGTTGGACTCGATGACCTCCAAGGTCCCTTCCAACTTTTATTATTATTATTATTATTATTATTATTATTATTATTATTATTATTATTACGGATCATCGCACAGTCAGCCAGATGTTCAGACTGGATTTGGCATTTTGTCTACCTATCGAGTCCTTACCCAGGACCTGGGATAGGCAGATGTGGATGTTTGATGGTATTAGACATCGTCGCAGGATGAAAGCAGTTCCTAGTAAGGCTGCCTTTTGCAATTGACTAATGGCAAATTTGTCAATGCCAATGGTGTTCAAGTGGTGCTCCAGTAGTTTTGGGATTGCACCCAAGGCGCCTACTGTATTATTATTGGTACTACCCTTGCTTGCTTTTGCCACAGTCTTTCTATTTCTATTTGTAGGTCTTTGTATTTTGTTATCTTTTTTATTATTATTATTATTATTATTATTATTATTATTATTATTATTATTATTATTATTTGCAATTCACTTAACAATAGCCACTTAAAACTGCTGAAATGGCCATCATAATTTGGCACGGTCATATAACATCGTGCCATATGACCACATCAGTCAGCAATGGAGTTTCCAGTCCAATTACGGTTGGTAAGTAAGGACTACCTGGATTTATAGACACCCGATTAATGTTCAGCTCAAAAGTAGTTTCTTGTTTCCAGATTCCCGGTCTGAATCTGCTTGCATAAAAAAATTTCAGTAATTCCTGTTCTTTTAAATAAAAAATTAATTGTATAACCAGAATTTAGCCTCTACTGCTATTTGCTTCCCAAATTAATTGAAAATTGAAAAAAGCATGTTTCCCTTTTGAGCTTGAAGGTATGGAAGATGGGAATACGAAATGTTATTTGTCTTGAACAAAATCCTTAAGTGTAGTATCAAGATAGAAAATTTGCAGAATTAGGGACAACACCTTACTTAGTTAAAAACAGATAGCAAAGACAAACTGCAAAATGTAAGATAGAATGTTTTTTTAAAAAAAATTGTATTACCTTTGACCTGTTTTTCGAATTGCTCTTTCAATTTCAGAACTTCTAAGTGCAATTCATTATTTTCACGTGTGAGCCTGGCATTTTCTTCTCGATAAGGTCCTAGAACGACGTCAAAGTTACTGCATTCTTTTTCAATTTTACCGGCAGATAACTTTGTGCTCCGGAGGCTCTCGGTTGTATGAACGAGGTCACTAAAATTAATAAAACAAATAATGAAAATATGGAATGTTGACAGTGTATTTCTAATTTCTTGTAAGTATTCTGTTGAATCGCCATGTAATAGAATAGTAATCGTACATTTTGATTACTGATCAATTCTAGCGTTTTCTTTCTAATGTCCAAGTAAAACAGTGGTTCTCAACCTTTTTAATGCCGCGACCCCAACCGGTCGTAAGTCGAGGACTAAACCGGTCGTAAGTCGAGGACTAAACCGGTCATAAGTCAAGGACTAAACTGGTCGTAAGTCGAGGACTACCCAACCGGTCGTAAGTCGAGGACTTTCCCTGCCCGGAAGCGCCGCGCATGCGTGGTTCCGCCCCCTGCGCCGGCCGAGGCGTAGCTGGCAAGCGGCAGAGACGGAGCAGGCCGACCATCAGCTGGCCCAGCCCAAGGGAGGTAAGGCACCCGCCGGAAAAGGGGAAAAAAATGGCGGACAAAAAAATGGCGGACAGCCTTGCTTGGCGACCCCCGTGAAATGGTCGATTGACTCCAAATGGGGTCCTGACCCACAGGTTGAGAACCACTGACGTAAAACGATAGGTTCATATTAATTTAGCTTTAAGAAAAAAGATGCACAAGAAAAATCTTACATCCTTCCTGCCAGAGGGAATAATAATACTTTATAAGTTGCCGAACTGGGTCACCTTCCATAAAGAACTGCACTGATCCAAGTATTTTCTTTTATTCCTTTTTTTAATACCTGAAAAGTTTTTCCACCAGAGGCAAACTTTCTACTCCCAGTGGTTGTCGGTATCCCAACTGATCCAATCGTTTCCTTAAATTAACAAACTTCCGCTCTACAGCTGCAGTCATTGTGAAGATTCTCTAAACAAAAAAAAAATAGGTTCAAAAAGGGGGCCAAGTAAATAATTAAACCTATACAAATTTATATCTATACAAATTACCATGCACTTATAACATTAACTTATAGGACCAAATAACATGCTTGCCAGCACTGAGTGAACTCATTGCAAAAATGGGAATGGTATTCTGGCATTTCAAATTTGTAAATGAGGTCAACAGAGGAAAGTGTGGATCCAAACAAAACCCTTACTGATACAATGAAATAACAATCACACCTAGTTATAGTAACACTAATAACATACAATATTATATAATGGCAACAATACTTTATCATCCTTTTTTTTAAATTATACATAACTCAAGACGTGAACATGCCTCTGCCTCCTATTTTCCCACAACAACAATCCTGTGAGGTCAGTTGGGCTTGTTGTTGTTGTTAGTTGCGAAGTCGTGTCTGACCCATCGCGACCCCATGGACAACGTTCCTCCAGGCCTTCCTGTCCTCTACCATCTTCTGGAGTCCATTTAAGCTCACGCCTACTGCTTCAGTGACTCCATCCAGCCACCTCATTCTCTGTCGTCCCCTTCTTCTCTTGCCCTCCATCTTTCCCAGCATTAGGCTCTTCTCCAGTGAGTCCTTCCTTCTCATTAGGTG